CAACTTTAACAAAAATCAGTATGTCTGTGTGGACCAATTTCTGAGTTCTCTATTCTGATCCACTGTTCTGTATGTCCATACCTCTCCCTATACCATCCAATCTTGGCTACTGGAGTTATATAGTAGACCTTAATATCAGCTAAAGTGATTCCTTTTGCTTTATTCTTCTTTTTTAGGATTATTTTAGCTCCTCTAAGGCCTGTGAATTTCCATATCATTTTAGAATAAGTTTATTTCTATCTCCCAAAAATGCTTTGCTGACATTTTGAGAGAAACTTCATCAAATCTATAGATCAATTTGGGAAGAATTAGCAACTTTAAGTATGTCAAGTTTTGCAATTTATGAAAATAGTATCTCATCCCACTTATTTAGGTCTTCTTTGATTTCTTTCATCAGCGTTTTGTAATTTTCAGCACATATAAACTGCACATGTTTTACTAAGTATAAATTTAATTATTATTTTTATTTGGCATAACTGTAAATAATATCATGTTTTTAATTTTCACATGCTTTTGTTAGTATACAGAAATGTGATTGACTTTTTCATTTTGGTCATATATCCTGCAACTTTACTGAACTCGCTTATTAGTTCTTAGAGTGTCTTTGTAGATTCCTTGAAATTTATTGACAATCATGTTATCTGCAAATAGAGACCATTTTATGTTTGCCTTTCCCAACTGTGTGCCTTTTATTTGCCTCTTGCAAGGACAATGACTTATTGAACAATGTTGAATAAAAGTGTTGAAAGTAGATATTTTGCCTCGGTCTTGATTTTAGAGGAAAGCAGCCAGTCTTTTGCCATTAAATATGATATTAGCTGTAGGGTTTTTATGGTATGATTTATCAACTTGAGATTATTACTCTCTATTCCTAAATTGTTGGGAGTTTTTACCATGAATATGCATTCAATTTTGTCAAAGACTTTTTTTTGCATCAATTGATAAGGTTATATTTTTTCTTCTTTAGTTTGTTGATATACTGCATTATATACATTGATCTCAAATATTAAACTGTCCTTGAACACCTGGAATAAATTCGACTTGTTTATGGTATATATATTTTTATATATTGATGAGTCCAAATTGCTGAAATTTTGTGAAGACTATTGCTTCTAATTTCCTTAAAGATATTGGCTTGTTGTTTTTGTTTTGTTTTGTTTTTGTATTCTTTAACCAAATATAGAGGCACACACCTATAGTCCCAGCTACTGAGGACACTGAGGCAGAAGGATTGGTTGAGCCCAGGAGTTCGAGGCCAGCCTGGGCAACATAATAATGAGATCCTGTCTCTTTAAGAAAAATGAATCCAAAAGTACTTTCTCCTTTACTATTTTTGGGAAAGAATTGTGTGAAATTGGCATAATTTTCCTTTAAAAATTTGGTTAACTTCAGCAGTAAAATCTTTTGGCCTGAACAGTTCTTTTTTGAAAGCTTCTTAACTACAAATTCAATCTCTTTGGAGATTATAGGACTATTCACATTATTTGTTTCTTCTTTATTGAGTTTCATGGATTTGGTCAATGTCTTCAGATTTGTGATATTTATTTAGCTAAATTTATTCACAGTATATTATTTTTGAGAGCTGTATTATCTACAGTGAGATCCTCTGTTACTTTTCCAATATTGGTGATTTTTGTCAGCTTGTGAGAATTTTACCAATTTGAAATTCACAGAACCAAAACTTTTGGTGTCAGGAATCTTCTTTTTGCTTATTTTCTTATTTCATCAATTCGTGATTTATCTACATCATGTCCTTCTTTCTGCTTTCTTTTACTCTGTGTTTCTAATTTCTTGAGCTAGGATTCTAGATTGTTTGTTTGAGTCCTTATTTCTTTCTTTCTTTCTTTCTTTCTTTCTTTCTTTCTTTTCTTTCTTTCTTCTTTTTTTTTCTTAAAGATAGGGTCTTGCTATGTTGCCCATGCTGACCTCAAACACAATTCTCCTGCCTCACCTCCTTACAAGTAACTAAGATTACAGCCAAATACACTGTACATGGCTAGACCTCTTCTTATTTCTAATACAAATATTTAGTGCTAAAAATTTCTTTTTCAGCACTGCTTTAACTGAATCCCTTATATTTTGGTATGCTGTATTTTCATTTTCTTCCTCTTCTATGCATTTTGTGATTTCCTTTAAGACTTTCCTTTGACTAATAAATTACTAAGAAATGTGTGGTTTACTTTCCACATGTTTAGAGATTTGTCCTTTCATTGTTGATTTTAAGTTTGATTTCACTGTGGTTTGAACACAGTCTGTATGATTTCATTTTTTCAAACTCTTTGGAATTTGTTTATGACCTAGGATTTGATCTATCTTGGTACCTATTCTTTAGAACATTGACAAAGAATGAAAAAAATCTGTATTCTGCTGTTGTTGGGTGGAATATTTCATAACTGCCAATTAGATCCTATAAGTTATTATTTTATTCAAATATTATATAAGCTTGCTGATTTTCTTACTACTAGTCCTATTCCAGCAGTTCTGAGAAGGGGAAGTGATGAAATCCCCAAATATAACTGTGGATTTCTATATTTCTTCTTTCAAGTCTACTAGGTTTTGCTTCCTGAGGTGGAAAAAAAAAAAAAAGAATGCCACCATTTCTCCGATCACCTCTAAAAAAAAAAAAAAAAAAAAAAAAAAGCAGCAACAAAACTGAAATAACCAAAACTCAGAAATGCAAAAGCCAAATGTTTTCTCTCATATGTGGAAGCTAGAGTAAAATAAAGAAAACAGGGAGGAAAGGATAGGATAATAAAAAGGAAAGATCAGTAGCGTAGAAGAAGGAGATGTAGAGACACTACTAGTAGAGGGATGGATAAGGGGACAATGCAGAATGATTCTTTAAAAATCATTCCATGCACTTATATATAAATGTACCATAGAGAACTTCACATTTATGCACAGGTAGAAAGAACCCATCAAATATGAATAAATAGACAGCAACAAGCAATATTTTTGAATAATGGGCCCCAAGAAAATAATTTGCAAATTAAATTTATCCTACCTTACTGCACCATAGAAATAACACAGAGACCTTGGCATACTTTCCTTGAGAACAATGGTTATACATCTATTGGTGCCATCTGTTTCTGTGGAAAATAAAAATCATTACATGGTACTACAGGGGGCTCAGGTGACATTTCAGGTTTTCTTGTGTCTCCTTCACAATATGATGTCTCACAACCAGAGTACCAAACTTCCTGGCATGTGTAGGAGTCAAGGGCAGGGATAAGGGGAAAAATGGACCTTCCATTAAACTTACATTGGACCAAAGTACAGCTAAGTGGGCATTTTAGGCCTTAGCATGATTTCTATATGTGGAAAGATGTGCTGGATGAAAACAGATGATCAGACACCTTTTGAAACCTTATTAAACAAATAGACTCAATTACACAGATATGCTTCCAAAACAAAAACAAAAACCAAAGGCTGAATGTTTTCTCTGATAAGTGGATGCTGATCCATAAGGGGGTGATGGGGGATGGAGGAAGTTTGGATTGAGCAGAGGGGCAGGGATGTAGAGGGGGAATGGTCGAATGAGATGGACATTATTACCCCTATGTATGGGTATGATTGCACAAATGGTATGACTCTACATCATGTACAATCAGAGAAATGAAAAGTTGTGCTCCATTTGTGTAAAAAAATTTTCAAAAATGAATTAATAAAAAAAATACCTCTCAGTTCTTCAATCAGTAAATATATTGACCAGAGTTTTGGTGATCAGTGCATAAAGTTGTCTTCAGATATTTATCCTGTGAGAAGTTCTAAGTCACTGTGAGTAAGGAGTGATGATATGGAATATTTATTTCCCATCATGAGAAATATTTGCAGAATACTTAGTACAAGATAACAGAAGGATAGAATGGTGTCTCTACTAGATGTTTCCAAAGTGCAACACATCATCACACGCTCTAACTAAAGAAACAGACATTTGCCTGAAACTTGCAACAAAAATGCCATTTTTATAAATTTGGTAACAGTTTTTGTCTTGGGAGTGGGATGAGAGAGTGAGGAGTGGATTGCAGTCTTTATATAATGCTCTGCATGGCTGTGATGTTTGGAAGTTTCAGTAAAGAGTATGTACCACTTTTAAAATTAAGCCATTGTAATAAAAATCAATTAACAAATGATGTCTACATTGTAAATGCTGAGTCAATCTTGTTTAAAAACTAGAAAGGTAATTATTTTTTAAAAACACAATTTTAATAAATTCATTACCCGTCCCTATAGGAACAAGTAACTCTGCTAAGTTTGCTCCAGAGATACTTTCCTTTTTCAAATTCCGTTCAGTTTTTTTCTTCTATGACTGACTGTTTAATGAGCCACTGTAGCTGGCCTTTCCCGAGGGTTAACTCACAACTCTTCCTAAATAATCTCAAAGTCATTTTGCTGGCTCAGGTGTTGTTTTTCAGGCAGCTGTTGCCAAAGGGCAGCATAATAATTAACAAGCTTCAGACTCAGAGGATTCAGGGTCTCATTTCTGGCAATGGATATACGCGCCACACACGGTGATGCTTTAGAAAAAATCAGTTTTATAAGGAGATTTTGACACTGTAACAAAAGAGCTCAGTTACTCCTAAATATTTACTTCTTGTTCTCTGAGAACAACTCGCAAAAGCTTAAGGATGGTGTCATTCCTTGCACAAAAGGAAGCTTTGTTTTCAGTAGAACTTGCAATTATATTTTAGGGTCTATTCTTCAATTCAGCTATTTCATGTTACTAAATAGCTAACATCAGCTACACTATATATTACAGAGGAGACAGAAACATTATTTGGCATGCATGTTTAGTGTTGAAACTGATTCTTAAATGTTCAGTGTTAGTGACTTGAAAAGGAATAGTTTCCCATGATAGTAAATGCAGACAATATGAGGATTCAATGTTCTTCATGTTTAGTTGGTGGATATGGAGGATATGTCCAGAAATAGTCACAGAGATTCCTATTGTGGTTTGCTCCATGGTGCTTCTCTCTGACGTGTCTTATCTGATATTTTAGGAGTTCGTGATGATTGTCGTCTTTGGCTTGGAGTTCATCATTCGAATCTGGTCGGCAGGTTGCTGTTGTCGGTATAGAGGATGGCAAGGAAGACTGAGGTTTGCCCGAAAGCCCTTCTGTGTTATAGGTGAATATGAAAGTCCCAGAGCCTGGATTTATGATCTGCATGCTTGTCTCCTGTATTGTAACATTTGTTTAATATGAAATATTTATACCTGTGGAGTACTTCGCACAAACCAGATACTAGTGTTTTAAGTGATCATTCATTTAATCCTCATCACCACACCGTACAATAGATTTTTTTTTTTTTTTTTGGTACTGGGATTGAACTCAGGGGCTTGAACCACTGAGCCAATGAGCCAGCCCTATTTTGTATTTTATTTAGAGACAGGGTCTCACTGAGAGTGAGAGTAGCTTAGCACCTCACTATTTTTGCTGAGGCTGGCTTTGAACTCGCAATCCTCCTTCCTCAGCCTCCAGATCTGCTGGGATTACAGGCATGTGCCACTGCACCAGGCTAGATATTTTTATATCCACATTTTACCAATGAAGAAACAGAGGCAAAAAGAGGCATGGTAAGGTACAGAAAGTCTTACAGGTAGTGAGTGGTCGAACTGGGATTGAAGCCAAGTTATCTTACTCTAGAACACACATTCATATCAAATAAGTTATATTAATAACTTGTATTCAAGGTAGTGTTTCCTTATATTAGACAAGCATTAACTTCAGTAAGTATTTTAAAAATTCAGAGTTTTATTCAGCTATAAAGTAAAAAGGGAATTACGTCATTTATAAGAATGGGTGTGACTTGAGACCATTATGTTAATTGAAATAAGCCAAACTCAGAAGGTCAAGGGTTGAATGTCTTCTCTCATAGGTGGGAGCTACAAAGGAAAAAGGAAAAGAAAGATGGGGGTGGATATATCTCATGGAAATCAAAGAGAGATCAGTAGAGTAGAAAAAAGGGATAGAGAGGGAGATGGTGAGGGAGGAGGGAAAGCACTGAGGAGCAATATTGGCCAAAATATATTGTTGTATTTTGTGCATATATAAATATGTAACAATAAATTGCATCATTATGTACAACCATAATGCACAAACAAAAAATGTAGAAAGACCAAAAAAAAAAAACTATTTCATGTCTAAAATAGGGACAACAGGTTATGCTCTTGATAGGCTGGAATGGATACTATTGTATTTTTTCTAATAATGCTTATCAATTAGCATACTTTAAGAAAGATTACAAGTATGGTTTACTTTTTGTTTTGATGACTTTTGGCTTAAGTGTCTGGTTCACCCCATCCCACAATTCCCGAATAAATAGCAGATCTCTGCATATCCCTTGCTACTGTCATTCAGAGGAACTCCATTCTACTGGGTTCTGACTAGAAATTTTACTTCTCTATGAAGACACACTTTGGAGTTAATGTTTTGCATCTCCCAGGAAGATAATCCAGATATAAAGACATCACAAAATTGAAAACTCTCTATATTAAATCTATTATTATTATTATTATTATTATTAGACAGCTAAATTTGATTTTCTTGCTCTTTTATCTCTTGTGCTTAGTCAGTCACTCAAACTCAAATGCTAGAAGTTCCTGTGAGGCTTACTTACTTCAACTATTTCCGAACTGAGAATGTGGAGTTTTAATTTACAAGGTAGTATAGACTATCTTATTCATCCACAATAGGTTCTCCACTTTGTTTTAGAGAGGGTGAGTCATCATCTTAGCTTCCTCCTTTACTTGTGTTCCCTGTGGTGGGGACAAAGTGGATTCAAGAAGGAGACTGACACCTCATTCATGAGCACTATTAGAAATAAACCTTTATTCCACACTTACTTTACAGTAGGCACACTTTACGAGAATGCAACGGTATTTATGAAAATTTGGATTTTAAATAGTGAATATAGTGAAATCAATCTTAAAAATACAATATTTGGCCTTCATGAATGCAGTCTATTTGCTCAGCTATCTCTCATCTGCAAGCAAAAGCTGCACTTGATTTTGGAAGTCATTGTGCTGAGGTAGGAGGAAAGCAGGTGGTAATTTCCAGCCTTGTGGGTCCATCCAGCTCCAAGACATATTGGTGAAGGCATTTGATTTTTCTCCCAGGAGACTTTTTCTCTTTCAAATTCTCCACTCAAGCAACATTATGAAGGACTGCAACTTGATGTAAAACTACCGCACAGCAAGTACTCTCTGGCCCAAACAAAACAATTCACAAGGCAGATGGTTAGCCAAGATTCACTCAACTTCTACAGGATAAGGTCGGTTCATGGATGACTGCAGGAATGTTCCATTCCAGATTTTAAAACCAATTAAAAATTGATTTTGTTCCAATTCCAGAGGCAATGCCAATGTATTTCTGGCCTACAAGCTAAAAAGAGAGTTCTTTCCCAGATGCCTGCAGCCTTTTGATAGCTGTTTTCAGGGATGGGAATATAAGAACATCGTCATCCTTTAATCTTTCTCTTCATGCCTCAGATCCTGCAGGTCTTGTTCTAAAAATGTTATCTGTAATCTTACTTGCTTTTACACCTATCAATAGTGACCTCACAAATCTAGTATGACATTGTTTGGGCATAATTGCAATTTTATTAAGTCTCCAGGCCTTTTCTTCCATTGGGTATTTTATATCAAGTAAATTAATTGCTTTGAAAGAAAATTTCAAGGGTAAATAATGAATTATCATTAAAACAAAGACCAGATATGTACTTACAGTTGGAATAACCATGCCTTTTTCCAAACAGACAAATCAAATGTCACCTGTTTGAAGATAGGAGATTAGACTAGATGACCGTTAAAGGCCCTTTCTAGACTTATTTAGTTGGTCCATAAAAAATGCTTGATAAACTGGTAAAAATGGTAAAGTGAGCCCTAGAGTTCCCTTGTTTGGCCAAATTTATACTAGCAAAATGAAAAAAAAAAGGAATAGCACATCTCTCTCTCTCATCTGTCTATAATAGCTGTTCTGAGTGGGAGTTTGGAAATGTAGCTAAAACTTCTTAAGATTTCATCTATTTGTAAGATTTGATTACTCTGAACATGCAAAATACACACCCAAATATTTTTAGAATTCTTGAGGATTCAAGAAAAGAACACAGAAAGACTGTGGTAGGCTGGATGTTATGCGTTCAATGTGGGAAGTGCTTTCTGTAAAGTATGCCAGTGTTATGCCTCCCCACAATAGAGGACCCCTCCTGGACTGCCCACCCTCCTCAACCCTAAACTCGAGCCAAAACCAAGAATGTATTTCTAAAATTCATTGACTTTTTAAAAATCATAAAATCATCATATACTTGTTTTGGGGAAACATTTTAAATACCTTTGGCCTAAGGGAAAAGTCTGTTTGATTCTTTTTAATTAGGAATTTTCTTTCATTACTATATTGAATTATTGCTACTTGGTTTGAATTGAAAATTAGCAAAAGCTTATCTAGAATATAAATTTTTTTTTCCTTCTACATGAATTCAATTTATATAACCCCTCTAGTATTCTTCATAATAACATTTCTACATCTGCAGGCAATGATCACTGCATTACTAATTTAGAGGGTCAAATATATTTTGTAATGACTGCCTGAACTGTGCTTCACTTACCTGGGCTGGGCGCTATATGATTTTTTTCTACATTCAAATACAAGTCATTCACCCCTTAACATCAGTATCTAGAATGTACAAATTATCTCAAACACCGATTTCGTAGTCATTGTTTTTTTCCATTGTTTTTTTCATTAATGACCTACCCAGAAAAATAATACCAAAGGCTGATATTTAGATCACAGTAATGAGCCTGAGACGTCAGAAAGCCAACAAATTACTTCTAACAGTGGCTTTTTTGGGATTCCATGGTGACTCCTTCTGAAGACAGATATAACAGGGCCATATTTTTTCAGTCTTACAGTGTGTCTCAGTGAAGCAGAAAATACCAGCCTGTTATTAATCTTGGATCAGTATTTGATACTAAATGTAAGCTGATTTCTTATTGCTATTTTAAGTTTCCCTTCAGTGTAGTATTTCCACAAGAGGATAAAGTAGGCAAATCACAGCATGATATCTCCCTAGTGAACTGAGCAAAGATATCTTCAGCTTGAGATAACCGTTCCTCAGAAAGTACCAACAAGTGTATTTTTTTAATAGAAAATGTAGCCAGTTTCTAAGTTGACTACAAATAAATAAATAAATAAAGATTTCGTTGAGGCCAACCACATTACAGGCTATACTAGTAAATCTATGATTTCATTTTTTTTCTTTCTTATTTGTTCTTTTTAGTTAGAACACACAAAAGAATGTATCTTGACATATTATACATACATGGTGTATAGCTTTCCACTCTTTCTTTGGGCAGGGGGAGGTTACCAAGGATTGAACTCAGAGGCACTCGACCACTGAGCCACATCCCCAACACTATTTTTGTATTTTAGTTAGAGACAGGATCTCACTGAGTTGCTAAGCACCTCGCTTTTTGCGAAGGCTGGCTTTGAACTTGTGATCCTCCTGTCTCAGCCTCCCAAGCTGCTGGGATTACAGGTGTGCACCACCACACTCAGCTTAGCTTTCCATTCTTGTGGTTGTACATGATGTGGAGTTATACTGGTTCTGTATTCATATATGAATACAGGAAATTTACGTCTGATTCATTCTACTGGCTTTACTATTCCCATTCACCCTCCCTTCCTTCTATTTATTCCCCTTTGTCTAATTCGATGAACTTTTATTCTTTCCTCCCCCCTCCACCTTATTGTGTGTTAGCATCCACATATCAGAGAGAACATTCAGCCTTTGGTCTTTTGGAATTGGCTTATTTCATTTAGCATGATAGTATCCAGTTCCATCCAGTTACCAGCAAATAACATAATTTCGTTCTTCTTTATAGCTAAGTAATATTCCCTTGTGGTGATTTCATTTTATTAAAAGGAGAGTTTAACTGATAATGTGTTCAAAAGTTATATCAGAGACTCTCAGAATTGCCATTAGCTTATAAACTAAAGATTCAAGACATTGTATTTCCACTTCTCTGCCTTCTCCATCTTCTGTTCTGAGAAACCTGCTCTTGAACTGCACCATTTTCTACATTCTCAAATCTCTTTTTACCTTTAGTAAAAACTATATTCTCCAGTCAG